TCTGTTTCCGGGCCTAAACATTGTCAGAGTATTATGTGACTTTGCAACCCTCAATACATCCCTAAGTGACGACCCTTTTAGAATCTTGCCTAATTATATCGTCATTTGTTCCCACTTGCATATTTTGGAATTAGCCCATAGCCCTAGTTCAACAGTTTTTGTAAGTTTAGTTTCGTACGGGACTTGACAGACTACTTATGCATGCATTAGGCATGGGGTCTGCAAAGTCTTGGCCCCTGTAGACTACGTTTGACATAAGGTAATTAGAGCACCCCAGGTTGTGTCAAACAATCATTGGTTGCAGCAACAAATAAGTTTTTGTCCCCTACTCCTACAATAATATCAGCCACGTGCCATTTACCCATTCCGAAACATTAGCAACCAAGTGTCGGTCATCCATCCCACTTCAGTAGTAGGCCAACTGGATACCTACACGCCCTTTCCCTAGTGAAAAATCATATACTAAGCTACAACAGACTCATCTTGGGAAGCGACAAATTCATCCAACTTTATGAAACAGGGGGGGGAAGTCAAGTAGGGAACTAAACTAACACGTGTACATGTGTAGGAAAACACACAAGAATGTAGCGGAATACAACCAAGTGCAAGAGTATGAGAAACAAGGTGGAAAACAAGGCTAGACAAATGAACATATGTATGAAACACACTGGAATGTAGCCGAATACAACCAGTGCAGAAGTAGGAGAAACCAAGTGGAAAACAAAACTAGACACGTGCGCATTACTAGAAAAACACACTAGAATGTAGCGGAACACAGCCAAGTGCAAGAGGAGGAGAAACCAAGTGGAAAACTAGATTAGACACATGCAGAAAAGTAGGAAAGCACACTAGAATGTAGCGGAATACAACCAAGTGCAAGCATATGAGAAACCAAGTTGAAAACAATACTAGACACATTCACAAGAGTAGGAAAGCACACTAGAATGCAATGGAATACAACCAGGTGCACTACGCACATGTAGATGAGTAGGAAAGCAGACTAAAATGTAGCGAAATACATCCAAGCACAAGATTGAGTGAAAAAATGATGAAAACTAGACAAAACACTCACCAATGACTAGTGGATGCTAAAATCAAAGTAACAATTTACTCACAAGTGAAATAATAAACAACGCATAGAGAGAAAAACAATAGAACATACTCAAAATATTATTGGAAGCAAGAATCAAAGTAGTGATTTACGCTTAAGTGGAGGAATGGACAAACACGGAGACAAAGATGAAGAAACACATTCACAATGCTTATAGAAGCAAGAATCAAAGTAGCAATTTACTCTCTAAAGGAAGAATGGAAAACCATAGAGAGAAAGATGGGGAAACACACTCAGAATGATAGTAGAAGCAAAAATCAAAGTAGCGATTTACTCACAAGTCGAAGAACGGACAATCATGGAGAGAAAGATGCGGAAACATACTCACAATGCTAATAGCATCAAAAAATTGAAGTAGCCATTTACTCACAAGTGGAATAATCGACGATACATGGAGAGAAAAATGGGGGATTACACTCACAATCAGAGATGTCACGGGGACCCCCGGGCCCAAAGCCAAGGTGGTGTTTTAACCCCCAGACCCCCGCGACGGGGGTCCCTGACCACCGCCGCCGAAGGTACACCCCTGCCACCGCCCGACCACGCCGACCCCCGCCAACCACCACCGCGGCCCTTGGCCCTGCCCTGCAAACCTGACCGCCGACCCCACGACACCAACCCCGCTTTCCTGCACGCGCCCCCGGCCCGGCACCCCCACACCCCGCACCCCGCCCGTCACCCCCTCCAGCAGCCCCGCATAGCACAACCACGCTCGACCCGCTACCCCGCACCCCGACCCCCGACGCCGCACCCCCCCCACCGCCGCCGCCCCCGCAACCCCGCTAGAACCCCGACCCCGAGAAATGATCCCCACACCCTCCGCCACCACTTGTCAACCACCGCACCTCTGACTACCGCAACCCGCACCCGCGCGCCCCACCCCCCACAACCCGCGCGCCAGAACTCGCACCCCCGAGGCCCGAACCTCGAAAGCTCGCAACCCCGCCCCGATGCCCGCAGCCCCGATCCCCGCAGCCCACGACCCCGCGTTGCACAGCCACGGCCCCACATCCCCACAAACGCACCCCCCCGCAGCCTTACCAGCTCCCAGTGTCTGCAGAATGCAGCAACGACCCAGTCCGCGTTGTGTGCACGAGTAGCCCCTGCCAGCCGCCCCCCCTGCTACGGCAGTGTTGCATTGCAGGGAGTGTGGGGGTGTTGTGTCGCGTCATGCGGGTGCTGCGCCGTGGGATTGCTGTGTCGTCGGAGTGCAACATGGAGGTTGGGAGTGTTGTGCTGTGTTGTGGGGGTGCTGTGTCGCGTCGTGCGAGTGCAACATCGTCGTTGGAGCGTGGGAGTGATGCGTCATGGCCCCCCGTATTGAGGCAGTGTGCGGTGCAGGGAGCATGGCAGTGCTGCGCTGCAACACTCTGTTCTGTGTTTTTTTTTTTTTT